AGAAGAGCAAAAAGATAAGGAACTCATAGGAGCGTTTGATAGACGCATTGGAGTCCTCAACCTCCCCAAGACTAAGACCAGCCGGAAATGGGCAGCCATTGAGGAGGAAGAGATGGAGCATTACAAATCTGTCCCAATGGAGGATGCGGTGGGAGAAGTCATTACAGTAATGAGAGCGTTGTACGGCATGGTGGATCAATGCGGAAGACTTAAAGACACCTATCAAGAGTGCCTCAAAAAGGCTGCTGCAATTGTGATAGGTGCAGTGACGACGCTGCATCAAAGAGCATCTGGAACGGGAACCTACGACCAGATAGAGAAACTTTCTAGACAAGTTCGTCGCCTAGAAGAGGACAATAAACGAATGCGGAATGTACTGGACAGTATACAAGCAAGGGAGAGTGTTAAGACGGGGGAACCCTTACTAAACATTACCGGAACATGGGACGAGGAACTCAAGGAACAGAGGAAGCCACGCAAAATCTCACAACCACTCGTGGATGGGGAGACCTTGTATTACGAGGAAATGGGAAACCCAAGCAGCCCTCTTCCACCTGTAGGTGGGGAGCCGCTCGAGGGGAATAGGAGACGAAAAACCTCACTTCCATCCGAGGATAGAGAGGTCCTAAGTCTCCAGAAAGGAAAGAGGATCATTAAAAAGGAAAAAAAGGAGAATGGGAATATGACTCTGAAAACAAATGCAAAGTCTAAGCCAACCTCTCAAAAACCTGTGGTAGTCAGCAATGTTATGATTGCTGGACCCACAGATATGAGTAAGACAAAAGCCAAGATAGTGCAAAAAATCGAGAAGGAAATTTCCCAATTACGAGAGCAATTGGAGGAAAAAAACCAAATGCTGTTGGAATTACGGAAGGGGGAACAAGCAACAGCAGTAACCCCCAAGGAGAGTAAGACTCAAACACGAGTCCAACAAACGATGAAGCCCACTACTAGTAATAAGTAGTAAGAGTAAGGCTCCGATAATTAAGAAGAGTAAGGCTCCGATAGTTGACGACATTCCCGCTAACACAGGGATGGATCAAATCGAAACAGAAAATGCCGCTCTTGTCCCTACGGCGGTATCAATAAATCCTGGGGACACGTATGCAACAGTTATCAAAAAGAGAAGGCCGAAAGGTGCGGTATCAGCACCCCAAGTAACGGGTGGAACATTTAAAACTAAGACCGAAGACGACGGATACTCCTTCGGGGAAGAAGATTAAGAAGCGCAAACCGCCGAAAACAGCAGCGGTGATTATATCAGGCCAGGCTGGCATAATAACAGAGATCTTGAAGGAAGCCAAGACTAAAATCAAGATGAGTGATCTTGGCATCGATAACACCAGAACACGAGAAGCCATGAACGGTGGCTTTATGATAGAGGTGGCTGGGTCTGATAAAGATGCCAAAGCGGACCTGTTGGCATCCAAGCTCCGAGAAGTGGTCAACCGAGAAGGAGTCAAGATCTCTAGACCGGTAATGATGGCAGAACTGCGGGTACGAGACATTGACAGATCTATATCTATTGGTGAGATACAGGATGCTCTGGCTAACATAGGACAATGCAATCCCATGGCTATACAAGTAGGCACTATCCGAAGAGTGCCTAACGGATTGGGTACCCTGTGGGTTAAATGCCCGCTCGTATCGGCCAATAAAATGACAACGGCCGGGCGAGTTAAGATAGGATGGACGTCTCTGCGCGTAGAAAGATTAATTGAGCGCCCCCTCCAGTGCTTCAAATGCCTGGAGGGTGGTCACGTGGCACAAAGATGTCCAAATAAAACGGACCATAGCGGCCGATGTTATCGGTATGGCGAAGAAGGCCATATCTCTCGTACCTGCACGAGAGAGGTCTATTGTGTAGCCTGTGCTACGAATAAGTTGCCAACCAAGCACCGAGTAGGAAGCGCTGCCTGTCAGATCGCGAAGAGGAAGCGACGAGGGAAGCGAGAGGTAGTAACACCTCATCTAGACCCGCCGTCTATGGCAATGGAGAGGAGAGACTCAGCCACATCAATTATGACTGTAACGTCAGAGGGGAGAAGAGTAGCTGAGAAGAGAAAGCAAACGCAAACAATCGATATGGAAGCCTCGGACAAAGAGCAAACGCCGAGACGCGTCCTTAAAAGTAGAAGGACAATGAGGAAGTCCCATAGTGACCTGGGACTCAAGGCGGCGGAAAAAAGCGAGACGGAACTCGAGATGGAGACAAAACTCGAGATGGAGACAAAGGACCTGTAGAATGATAGGCATCCTACAAGCCAATTTGAACCACGCTCGTCAGGCATAGGATCTATTCCTTCACAGCCTGGCAGAGCGCGGTTGCGCTTTAGGCATAATCGCGGAGCCATATGGAGTTCCGCCCAATCATCCCCTGTGGGCGGTATCTCATTGCGGCAGAGCCGCGACTACATGGAGGACAACTGCAGACTATCCCCCCTGCACCACTTTGATGGCAGGGGAGGGTTATGTAGCTGTACGATGGGGGCTCATTGTCGTGATCAGCATATACCTGACGCCTAGATTGGACCTCACCCAATTTCGAGGAAGGCTGGATGAGATCGGCGAATGCATTAGGGAATGCGAGCCGAGTCCAGTCCTTGCCGCAGAGGATTTCAATGCGAAATCTCCAACATGGGGGTCCCCACGGCTGGACCCAAAAGGTGGAGCACTTGAAGCGTGGACGGCGGGGCTTAATCTGTGCCTGGTTAACACCGAGGCCATAAGCACGTGCGTCAGGTCGCAGGGGGAGTCCATTGTGGACATAACATGGGCTACCCCCTCGACCTGGCGGCTAATAGACGAATGGAGGGTGTTGGTGGATAGTGAAACATTGTCGGACCATCGATACATTTACATGTCCGCCACCTCCAGAGAAGTGCTCGCCCGCCGCCAGGCGGCCAGGAAAAGATCACGGCGATGGGCCCTTAAAAAGCTCGATGAGGAGGCATTTTCCTCCTCGATCCTCGCAGCATTGTGGGCTAGAGGTGACCGAGAGAACGGCGGCGATATCGATTTGGGAAGGGAGGTTGCGTGGGTCCGACGCACCATCTCCGAGGCATGTGATGCCTCGATGCCCCGGGTCCACCGCTCCCCTAAGAAAGCCTCGTATTGGTGGACGGAGGAAATCGCCGAGTTACGGCGCTCCTCCGTTCACGCTTATAGGACCTTCTCTCGGACTCGTAGATCCAGGAGCATTGGAAATCTGGCTGCGAGGATCGAGGAGAAAATTGAAGCATATAATGCCGCGCGGATGGCTTTTCGTAAAGCCATTAAAAAGGAGAAGGCCAGGGCCTGGGAAGAATTACTGCTCATCCTGGATGATGACCCTTGGGGTCGCCCATATAGAATAGTTTTGAAGAAGCTAAAAGGTGGGGCGGCCCGGGTCACAGAGACTTTGGATCCCCAGTTCGTTGACGCAGTGGTGACGACTCTCTTTCCCGTAGGGGAGGGAGTCGAAAGTTTGCCCCCTCTGGGAGACATCCCAGAATGGGATGACGGCAAACTGGGGATAACCCAGGGTGAGCTTAAGGACGCCCTTACCGGAATCAAGCCCAATAAGGCCCCTGGACCGGACGGCGTCCATGGCAAAATCTGGGTCCTGGCCTTTAACGTGATGGCCGAAGACATGCGGCGCGTCTTCGAGGAATGCCTCAAGCGAGGTAGTTTCCCCCCGGAATGGAGGAGGACAAAGCTTGTCCTTCTCCCGAAGAAGGGTAAGCCGGGGGACTCACCGTCGTCCTACCGACCCATCTGCCTGCTGGACGAGGCGGGTAAAATACTCGAAAGAATTGTCGCCAATCGCCTCGTCCGGCATTTGTCCCGGAGGGGTCCCGATTTAAGTGCGGATCAGTATGACTTCCGAGGCGGTCGCTCGACTATAGACGCAATCTTGCGCGTGAGATCCGTTTCGGAGGCCACAATCAAGGATGGTGGAGTGTTGTTGGCAGTCTTATTAGACATTAAGAACGCCTTCAACACCCTACCGTGGAAATGGATAGCGGCGGCCCTAGAACATCATGGGGTCCCGCGATATCTGTCCGCGGTGATAAGAGACTACTTTCGGGACAGGGTCCTGGAGTATGTGGACCGAGATGGGTCGGTGCAGAAGAGGCGTTGGTTGCGGGGTTCCACAGGGCTCAGTGTTGGGCCCGCTTCTGTGGAACCTCGCATATGACCACGTCCTCCCCCCCATCTGCTACGCAGACGATATGTTGGTGCTGGCCGGGGGAAAGAGCTGGGGGGAAGCCAATGCCACGGCGAATTTGGCTGTGGCATGCGTGGTGCGCTCCATTTGCGCCCTGGGGCTGGAGGTGGCGGCCCAGAAGACCGAAGCGGTCCTTTTTCACGACGGATCGCACGGTCCGCCGCCTCCAGCTTTCATCCGAGTAGGTGAGGCTCGTGTCCAGCTAAGCGAAAGTATTAAATACTTAGGTCTACAGCTGGATGCGACCTGGTCCTTCGGTGACCACTTCCGCCGTCTGGCCCCGAGAGTGGAAAGGGTCTCAATGGCCCTCTGTCGACTCCTCCTAAACTTCGGGGGACCGGGCGGAAGGGTTCGCCGCGCATATGCTGCGGTGGTTAGTTCGATGGCCCTATATGGTGCCCCAGTTTGGGCGGAAAATGTTGCCGCTATCCGTCGCCTGCGCGATCTCCTGTGCAGAATGCAGAGGCGGGTGGCAATACGAGCGGCGAGGGGCTACCGAACAGTTAGCCACGCGGCGGCGACGGTCCTGTCCGGCATGCCCCCGTTCGACCTCGCGGCCCAAATGTACAATCAAATGTATAGGAGGGTACGCGAGGTCCGTGAGATGGGGGTGCCAATAACCGGCAGGGTCTGTCGCATAATTAAGGACCAGGCTCGACGGTCGCTTCTCCAGCGGTGGCAGCAGTCACTGCTGGACCCGCAAACTGCGGGAAAACGGACCGTCGAGGCCATAGGACCCCGTCTACCAGATTGGGTGGACGGGGTTTGACGAGAGGGTATATGCTACCGGATGACACAGGTGCTCACCGGACATGGCTGTTTCGGTGAGTACCTGTGCAGGATAGGGAAAGAGCGCACCGAAAGGTGCCACCACTGCGCCTGTCCGCGCGACTCGGCGCAGCACACGCTGGAGATCTGTCCAGCGTGGGCGGCCGAGCGCGCGGACCTGATAGCCGAGGTCGGCCAGGACCTCACCCTCTCGGCCGTAATAACGGCCATGACCGAGAGAGTTGAGGCATGGAGGGCCGTGTCCTCCTTCTGTGGCAAGGTTATGGCCCGGAAGAAGGACGCGGAAAGAGTCCGGCGAGGCGAGGGTGGCCGCCATAGAGCCACCCAACACCCGCCGCGAGACGGAGGAGCTATGCCTCCGCCCACGTAGGGGGAGGCGCCACAGTCCCCACCCTCCCATCCCACGTATTGGAGTGGGATGACCTCGCCTGGGGCGAAGGGCTGACACCACTGGTTGACCCCCTGCCCATTCGCCGAGGAGAGACGGGGGTGCCGCCAAAGGGAGCCGTTATTCAGCTCCCAAAGGCGGCACCCGCCACACCGGCGAGAGGCTCCCCTCAGAAGGTGTTACCACCAAAGGTACACCTTCGAGGGGACACATAGATGAACTCCGCACAAAACCCGTCCGAGGTTCGGAGGGCCAGGGTCCGAGCGGGAGACTCCGACCCTGGTCCCGCCCCCCGAGCACCACGAGGGGACGCAGTTCCGAGGAGGTGCCCCTTGGAACCGCACATGGAGAAGAGCCGCCATCCAAAAGCGGCGCGTGCGGCACTCCCCACCTCTAGGGGAGTGCCCACAGGCGACGGTCGGGTGGAAGGGGGAGGATGTCCGAACGAATGCCTACGGCAATTACCGGTCCTTCCCCATATATCCGAGAGGCACCCGGTGGAGTTTTAGTGGGTATACCCGTTAAATAGGGGAGTCCCACATAACCCGAGGGCCGCGGGTATGCATCAAGCATTTCCCCATCGATATCAAAAAAAAAAAAGGAGTATGAGGACCTGAAACATATGAGTCCTGTAAATACGGTCGGCACCGCTGGATGTTACTTACCTCACCATGGAGTCTTCCGCCAGTCCAGCTCCAGTATTAAGCTCCGCGTTGTCTTCAACGGGTTACAACGCACCAACTCCGGAGACTCCCTCAACAAGCATCTATTTATCGGCGCCAACTTACTGCCAGCACTAGCTGACGTCCTTCTCCGCTGGCGCCGGCACCGCTTCGTGTCCGATATCGAAAAGATGTTCCGGCAAATAAATGTCGCTGATTCAGCAGCGGCTCCCCAAAGCTCAATGGAGGCACTTTCCTGGCCAAGAGAATCCCGCCGATTGTGCATCCAGAGGGATCGCACCAAGGGACCTGCTGAACCACCCCCTCTGGTGGAACGGCCCGGCCTGGCTGCTCAAGGGTCAGTCGCTATGGCCGGACAGCAACGACCAGACGATAGAAAACGTTCCTGAAACGAGAACGACTGTATTAGTCGCCATCAGCAAGGACAGACCGGAGCCGGAAATCCTCCTCCAGTTCTCAACGCTGCATAGACTCTTACATGTCTCTGCCTGGTGCCTTCGTTGGCGCCGAACTTCTCGCAATTCTCTCAGCACTGTACTGCTCCCGGACGAACTCGACTCCGCTCTACTCCGTTGGCTTAGGATCGTCCAGGGAGTCCACTACTCTGCTGAGTTCGCCGCCGTGCGGGAGTCTCGCCCAATGCCTCACGGCAGTCACCTGTCCAGGCTGCATCCCTTCATCGACGACAAGGGAGTCCTGCGTGTCGGTGGTCGCCTGAAACACGCTATACTGATCTTCGATGAACGGCACCCCATGATAGCACCGCCCACTTCATGGCTCACCAAGCTCATGGTGGAGTCCTGTCACCGTCGGACGCTGCATGGAGGCACGCAGCTCACTCTGGGGCTCCTCCACCTCCGCTTCTGGGTTCCGCAAGGTCGAGCCGTGGTCAAGCGGATCCTGCACCGATGCGTGACTTGCACCCGCTGGCGAGCCAACACTCCGCAGCCTCTCATGGGCGACCTCCCTCGTGAGCGAGTTACTCCTGCTCGTCCCTTCCTGAGAACAGGAGTCGATTACGCTGGCCCGATATTCATCCGCACATCCAAAGGGCGTCGAGCACACAAGGCGTTCATAGTTGTATTCGTTTGCCTTTGTTCCAGAGCGATCCACCTTGAAGTAGTGTCTGACTACTCCTCAGACGCTTTCCTCGCCGCCCTCCGCAGGTTCGTTTCCCGCCGAGGATTGTGCGAGGAAATGTACTCAGACTGCGGGACAAACTTTATCGGAGCGGACAGACAACTCCGAGAACTTTTCCGAGCATCTTCTTCCGACGGCCGTCGCATCTCTCAGGCAGTCACCAAGGAGGGTATATCCTGGCGCTTCAACCCGCCTAGCGCACCACACTTTGGAGGACTCTGGGAGGCGGCGGTGAAGTCGACGAAACATCACCTGCGACGGGTGATAGGAGAGGCTACGCTTACCTTCGAGGAGATGAGTACTCTTCTGGCTCAAATCGAAGCGTGTCTGAATTCTCGTCCATTGCAGGCCTTATCTGACGATCCAGACGACTTGTCCGCACTGACTCCAGGGCATCTCCTCATAGGCGCCCCTCTACTGGCAGTTCCAGAGCCTTCATCGGCCGAACGGTCACCAAGTACGTTGTCGCGGTGGCAATTACTCCAGCGAATGCGCGACCACTTCTGGCAGCGATGGTCCCAGGAGTACATCCACGCCTTGGCACCCCGACCAAAATGGCTCAAGGCCGAGCTCGCTCCGGAGATCGGAGCTTTGTGCCTCGTGCGCTTGGAGTCTACTCCACCTATCCGATGCCTCTCGCGCGTATCATCCGGTTACACCCAGAAAGCGACGGCACGGTCCGCGTTGTGACCGTCCGAACATCCACTTCGGAACTCGTCCGGCCGATTGTAAAGCTCGTCCTTCTGCCGGGAGTCAAGGAGGCCCACACGCCCGCGGACGAGTAGCATACTCGAGCGTTATTCTTCCCGTATTCTTTCGCGTAGCGTTTTCGCGCTTCTCTGTACATATTGTAATATAATGCACTTCCCTTCGCTTGTATATAATGTATATTTTCTATGTCAGCTGTCTGTCACACGTTCCGCGAATTCACCGTGTGCTTTCACTATCACTCACTCACTATCACTCACTCACTATCGTTATGGAAGCCTTCGTCGATCATTGCGCTTCACATTGTACGATTTTCCATTCTTTTTCATCACTGTAAAAATTTCACTCCATACCGCATTACTTATTCTCGCGAAAGATTAATCGAAACTGTTCAACACGTGTCTTCTCATTACGTCACACATTTCATCCATACATCACGATCAATAGCTCATCAATGGAACAGTACACGGCACCTGTCCGCATCCGCACTCACTCACAAATTTCGTGTAATGACGAGGCGGGCGGGATGTTCGAAATCCGTAATTATTGTCGCGATCTGAAAATTCGAACCAACAGAATCCGCATTTTTCTATTATAAAACCCGAAAATTCGAATTCAACGGGCATCGAGAAACTTCTCGAAAAATCTATTTTCGGCAATCTATATATCGGCTTCAACTTCATTTGCTTTTATTACTGCTAAGGGAAGTATCTTCTGAAAAGTTTATTGAGGATCTTGTGGAAAATGCTCAATAACATTAGACTCAAAAATCTTTATTAAATGTAAACGCATTAAACTATGATTATATTTTATTTTCTCAGGTTTAATATTAAATGATAATGAAATTGCAAAGCTATTGCGTAAACCCCACAATCATTACCATTTGGTTGATGTTGCACAGTTGGAAATTTGACAGTGTATTTTTCGAAAGCATATGTTGGAAATAATCTTGTCAAGAATTCTTCATGATGCTTATGTAATTTTTTAGTATTTAACGAATTATAAATACATATTTTTTTGTGTTATAATAACTGCACACTCAATGTCCATCATATAAACGTGACGAACTATGTAATATTTGTATATGTTTTTTATCTTTTGGGACAGGTTGAATTGTATCAAGACGTATTCGCCATGTTTCAACAGGTCTATAATCTGAACAATTTTTTAAAAGATGGTTGAAATGGTCCATATGAATATCAGTTAACCATTCGCCTCGAATAATTATATCTTTTTCTTTAGGTAGTGTTCGAAATCCGTAATTATTGTCGCGATCTGAAAATTCGAACCAACAGAATCCGCATTTTTCTATTATAAAACCCGAAAATTCGAATTCAACGGGCATCGAGAAACTTCTCGAAAAATCTATTTTCGGCAAAAACCCGACCGTTCGAGTTATCTTTCGTTTTTTTCGATACCAAAGAAACACTCGGTATAAACAATTGACAATAACATTGTCAACCGTCGACAATAGCTAAGCTACAAAAGGGCATGCGCGCCCATACGTCACGATCAGCTGATCGCCAATCAGCTGATCGCCAATCAGCTGATCGCCAATCAGCTGATCAAAAAAAGACCGTGCGCATGACAAGTGCGAAAATCTTAACTTTTGACTTCATCGGCGGCCAATAATGCGCGACGCCCTGAGATCACCGCTAAAAACCGAAATTAATTGGTCCACGTCGCAGCGGGCCCAAAATCTCGCTCGCAATATAAGGGGCACCGCGCGTGGACCCGAAAAAAAAAGTCTCGCACTTTACGCTCTCAGTTCCGATTATTCGACCGCTTTGCTCTACCGCTACATTCTAAAACGACCGCTATTTCTCTTGGACATACGCTATTTTCTCGGCAAATTCACAGATTAAACCGCACACGACGACCGCTATCTCTTTCGGACTTTGCTTTTTCGCGCGTTTCCAACGCTCAATGCGCTACGCCGCTCGCGAAATCGCGCACGATAACCGCTTCGCTTCATTGCACCGCTCGTCTCTTCACTCTGTGTTGTCATCTCTGCACTGGACACTTGTAACTTTTATTTTTGACTTTAATAAAGTCTGTCTTTGTCTATCGGAGTCAACCGATCTTTCACTGACGACCTTTCACTTTCCACTTTTCACCGCCGGACTCGCTCGCGAACAGGTAGCATAACTATATGAGTCTTTGTTTTTACAAACATTTTATATATATATATATATTATATTTTATATTTTATATATATTTTTTTATATAAATATTTTATATACAATAGGTCCGTATAGGTGCACAGCAGCCTTCTGTCGACGCACAGCAGTCGCTTTTTACAGGCGCACAGCGCCTTATATCGGCGCGCAGCAGCCGTTTTTTACAGGCACAGCAGCCTTTAAAAAATAAAAAAAAAATTAACCTACTTCCCGAGCTCTTCGTCACTACCACTGAAATAATCTGGAATAAAAATATACAATAATCTATAATAATCATCAATAATTTACAAAGTAAAATGTAAAAAAAGTAAATATAGAAATATAAAAAGTATCTTTGAACTATACCAAAATATTATCCAAAGTAGAACTATACTTATAACCACACTTTTTTATATATGATTTTTCTAAAACTTATAAAAAGTGCAAAATATAATATATATAATGTATATTTAAAATATTGATTAAAAATTATTTCATTTTTTAAAAAAAGATGTTAAATGCTAATATATACGCTAATTGTACATATGACTAATTGTGTGTGTGTATACAAATAAATATACGTTTAACTTTTGAATAATATTTCTAGATATTTCAAAAAAGTAATCATCCTACAATATATTTTTTACACATCTAATCTAGATATTAATTTAAATAGTATCTATTTATGATAAATAAATCAATAAAAAATGCATATTAAAAAATGCATATGCTTTTATATGCAAGATATTTCATGTAAAGTTTAATGTCGCAAAAATTAATGTGATAACCCGCTTAAAAATTTAAAAACAATAATTTCACTTCTTTATAAGTCAGCATACATATACAAACATTCAGCAGAAAAATTAAATTGGATTAATATCTTTGAATCATATGTGTTAATTATAATTTGTATATTTACTTTTTATTTTTTATTTTTATTTTTTGACAGATTTGATTATTGCTCAATATATTTAATTAGGAAGCTATTTTTTTGTAGATTTTGCTATTTTTCAATACATTTAATTAACAAGCTATTATTTTTCAGATTTTGCGATTATTCAATACATATAATTAGTAAGCTACGTTTAATTTCGCAAAACTATGTATATTATTCTATATACATAGCTTTTCAAAATATGAAATATCTTACATATATAAGATCATGCATTAATGATTTATTTATAATAAATAAATATTACTGAAATTGACAAAATATTATCAATAATGTAATACTTATAACCATATTTTTATCAATATTATCAAGAATGGAATACTTAAACCATACAACTATACTTATAACCATATTTTTTTATATAAAATCTTTTTCGAAAATTTCCAAAAAGTACATATTTATCAATGTTTACAATCTTGGTTTGACTTTAAACGAAAACTTACAAAATGCATATTTAAAATATTGATATTTAAAGATTATTTTACTTTATAACGAAAGATATTAAATGTTAATATATACGCTATTGTACTTATATGACTGTGTGTGTATAAATTTATGTTTAACTTCTGAATAATGTTTCTTTAATCAGATATGGCTATTATACTTATATGACTGTGTGTGTATAAATTTATGTTTAACTTCTAAATAATATTTCTTTAATCATATACATATTAATAATATAATGTGTAAAATTTAATTAAATTAAAAGCTGAAATATGGATTTATCATTATTATTAAAGCTACAAATTTATTTTTATATTATTATTAGACACATTATATTCTAACCTTTGATACGGTCGTTAAAAAGAATTGATATTTATGTACCGATCAATTAATTATGCAGTCGAGAATCTCCCACATGATAAAAAGATTGACACACGAAATAAAATTCAACCTGTATATATATTATATAATGTTTGACAAAAGTTGTATGGTTTCGAGGGGGCCATAAGATGGTACCATTGGTTTGACCTTAAAGAGTCATTTGAAGATCACGTGAAGATCACTTAAATTTTTTTAAATTGCACCCCCTATTTTTTATTGTATATTCTTGTAGCTGACCTCGAGAGCTTTCCAAAACACTTATGATAAAGTATTTTTCATTAAATATTTTTCGAGTTATGAGACTTGAATGTTGTAGTATTTGGAAATAAAATACATAATATCGTAAAATATTTATTTCTCGATAATCTCACCTTAATACTTTTATGTACAGAATAATGAGAAGAATCACTTGAAAAGAAAACACACAGTTGTCTTAAATAAATAATATAAATTTGCAACGAGTAGTTACGTATTTTTTATTTAAGACGACTGTGTGTTTTCTTTACACTAATTGATTCTCCTCATTATTCTGCATATAAAAGTATTAAGATGAGATTATCAAGAAATAAATATTTTACGAGATATTATGTATTTTATGTCAAAATACTACAACTTTCAAGTCTCATAACTCGAAAAATTCTGAATGAAAAATACTTTATCATAAGTGGAGTGCTTGAGTCGATCCCCAACTCGCAGGAGACCCTCGGTATCTAAAAAGGGACTAAAGCGAGCAAGTGAGTTTGATTTATTTAGGGCAAGGCCCTGACTTATTAATTTTAACTCGGCCCTGAATTTTTCAGATTGTACTCGCCGGATCCAACAAACTCGAGCTCTCTCTATCTCCTCTGTGGACAGAGTACTGGGGAAGCGCTGTTGAGTGCCAGTGGCCCGATCCTCCCTTACTCTCAGCCACCACCGACACCAGGCTGTCACGCGTAGGAGCCTCTTCAGGGAGGAGAACCGCACCAGCTCGGCGGCCTCGCTCATCGGCGCTGCTGTGGCTTTGACATGGACTCGGGTGCGCTTCTCCGGCAGGTGCTCTTCGGTGATGTGGCCGACGGCGGTCGGCCATGCGGTGGCGTCTAAGCTTAGCCAAGGCGGACCTTGCCACCACAGCGGATGGCTCTGCAGTTCCTTGGGGGAGAGACCTCGGGAAGCGCAGTCGGCTGGGTTGTCCTGGCCTGGAACGTGATGCCACGCAGCCTGCGGAGTGGTCCTCTGAATCTCTGAGACGCGGTTCGCGACGTAGGTTTGCCACCTGGACGGGTGGCCGCGGATCCAGCCCAGCGTGACGGTGGAGTCCGTCCACAGGTGAAGTGGCGCAGTCAGGTCGAGGATTGCCAAGGCGTGTTTGGCTAGTCGGCAGAGAAGGACGGCGGCGCTTAATTCCAAACGAGGTAAGGACACCTGTTTGAGCGGTGTGACCTTTTATTATTTGTTTTCGCGGTGATTAGGCGGACAATCCACGAGTCGTTTGACCATGTTTTTAGGTACACGACGGCGGAATATGCTCGTTCTGAGGCGTCGGAGAAGCCATGGACCTCGATGCGGGTGCAAGAAGGACCCAGATTAATCCAGCGAGGTACTCGGATTTGCTCGAGTACTGGTATCTGAGCGTGAAAGGTGACCCAGGCTGACGCGGAGGTGTCGTCGAGCGGGGCGTCCCACTCAAGTCCTTGAAGCCAAGTCGATTGAAAGGCAATCTTGGCGCGGACCACGACCGGTGCTAGCCAGCCGAGAGGGTCGAATAGCTGCGCCACCAGAGACAGCACAGATCTCTTGGTGACGGATGGCAGTGCGATGTGCCGGGTGGCGAAAGAGAAATCGTCCGTGGCGGGGTGCCACTGCAGTCCTAAGGTGGAGTGAGCCTCGTGTGGTCGCCAGTCACGGGTCTCGCGCTGCAACCGGTGCTCCGGCGGGATGTCCCAGATCACCGCTGAGTCGCTGGCTGACCACTTCCGGAGAGGAAAGCCGCCCGCCATGCAGATACTGGACAGCTGTTTGCACATCTCCTGGATCTCCGCCATCGTCGCTGCTCCGGTCAAGATGTCGTCCATGTAGCATCTCGCAGGAGAACGGCCGCTCCTAGAGGGTACTGCTTACCCTCGTCCTCAGCTAATTGCCTGAGAGCGCGCATCGCTAGAAACAGAGCACACGCTAAGCCGTAGGTCACTGTGCTCAGCTGGTACTCGGCAGGGCTGTCTTGCGGGGAATCACGCCACAGGATCCTTTGCAGATCCTTGTCATCCGGGTGTACCAAGATCTGTCGGAACATCTTTTCGACGTCGGTGACTAGACCGAAGCGGTGCCGTCGCCAACGGAGTAGCACGTCGGCGAGCGGAGGTAGCAAGTTCGGACCCACCATCAAGTGGTCGTTGAGGGTTCTTCTCGAAGTAGTTGGCGTGGAGCCGTTAAAAACTACGCGCAGCTTCGTGGTGACACTGTTCTTTCGCAGCACGCCGTGATGCGGCAAGTAATGCACCGGTCTGCGCGACGTGGCGTCCGGAGTCACGCGAGACATATGACGCAGGTCCTCATACTGCCGCATGAAGTCAGCATAGAGAGCTCGAAAAGGAGGATCCCAAGCGAAACGTCTCTCCATGCTGAAGAGAACTCGTAAAGCCGTGGAGCGCGTCGCCGAGAAGTCTGGCAGCGGGGTAACGACCGGCAGACGTACGACGTACCGACCGTCCGCGGACCGCGAATGTGTCTGGCGGAAAAAGTTCTCGCACTGTTGATCCGCGGGCGAGAGAGCTACCGCGGCGTCGGGTAGTTCTTCTTGCTGCCAGAACCTTTGTACGAGAGCGCCTAGGTCTTCCTCGACCAGGCAGTGATGTGCTGACGCATGGCGCGATGTGGACGTCGTACCGACGGCCCCAGACAATATCCAGCCCAGCGCCGTCTTTTGTGCCACAGGTTCCCGCGATTTCCCTCGTCGAAGTCCAGCCTGGAGGATCATGGCGTAGACGTCTGCTCCTAGAAGGATGTCTATGGGGTCCGTCGCCAAGAAGTCCGGATCGGCGAGTTCCAGCCCATGGATGTGCGTCCACGCTCGACGATCGGCCTTGATTCCGCCTTCATAAAGTGTGAGCCGGGGGAAAACCAAGGCGGCCACGCTTATTAAGGGCCCGTCGCGCAGGGAGCGGATCTGAAGAGTGACTTGACCGCGGGCGAGGCCCGTCTGCTTGCCGCCGATTCCATACACGGCGACGGAGGTAGGAGACCGACCCAGGCGAAGAGGTTGGGCCAAAGCTTCGGAAACTAGCGAGGACTCCGAGCCCTGGTCAACTAGTGTGCGTGCTGTGTGAGCGTGGCCGAACCGGTCCAGGACGCGAACGCGCGCGGTAGCGAGGAGAACTGTCGTCGTCACCTCGACTTTGTGTTGCGCTAAGTGTGACGTCTTAGTGCTCTCGACGGACGGACATGCCTCGTGGAGGGTCGTGTGGTGACGCGCGCGACACGACGAACAAGTCTTTTAAGAAGCACACTCGCTTACCTTGTGCCTTCCTAGGCAGTTCAGGCACAAGTCGTTCGCCTCGACGTGACGCTTCCTTTCCTCCGCCGTCTTGCTCTGGTAAAGGTCACAGAACATAATATAGTGATCCTGACCACATAGGGAGCAGCGACCTCGCTTACTGTCCTGCTTACGTGTGTGAAGAGTGCGAGTCTTCTGTGTCGGACTCGGATGCGGTTTAGAAGAAATGGCCTCGACCTTGACAGGCTGCAACGATTCTAAAGTGTGCAGCCGACGATCCAAGAAGAGCTGCAGTTTGTCGTACGAGGGTGGATCGTTGGAATCACTAATGAAATTCTCCCACTCGCGGCGAGATCGAGGATCGAGCAGGTCAACGACGAGGTGCACAAAAAGATCTTCACCCTTCGTGATCGGGCGCCCAATGCTCTCCAGTGATCCTACCGTGCTCTTCACGCTGTGGCGAAGTTTGCGCAAGTTTTCACCACGGACTCGCTCTTCAGCTTCTGGAGTGACGTAAACTGGGAGATGTAACTGCGCACCAGGAGCCGCTTGTTCTCATAGTAAGCAACGAGAACATCCCATGCGCGTTCGAAATTCTCGCTTGTCGTGGGCAGGCTTCGAATCAATAATTCTGCTTCTCCTTTCAGGCATGTCTTCAGGTAATGGAGCTTCTCGACTGAGGACGTGAGAGTGTCCCTTCCGATTAGCGATTGGAAGAGATCACGGAAGGCTGGCCAATCCTCGTACTTCCCGGAGAAATGGGGCAGCTGGATCCTCGGAAGAGTCGTGCGGGGTGCTTGTGAGGACGGCTCTAACCCTTTCGTGCCAGCTTCCTTTTCTTCCGTCTTGAGGTTACGCAGGAGGTCCAACAGCAGACCTTTATTGGCGAGGTAGGCCTCTTCAGCCAGAGCAGGTATGTCGAGTCTTATGTACTCTGAATCGGCCACTTGGTCGAGATAATTCAAGAGCTCATCGTTGTGCGCGTCGAACTTCGTCCAGTACCTTTCCAAGGACTGCAATCGCGCCTCCACTGCGCCCACCGTGATCTTGGCAGCGCCCAGCTTCATCAGGTTCTCGTGAGTACGGGCAATTTTGCCGTAGAGATCCGTTGCGGCGGTGATTGTCAACTCGGCCTTGCGACTCATGATGACTGAATTTCAGGTGACTGGTCTTCAGAGCACAGAGAACCACAACATTTCGCACTCACTCCGCGTCGTAGAAAAAACCGGTCACTAAATCTCCGGCTCGAAGGACCAGCAAATGATAGAGTTTTTGCGAGATTGACGCGGGAAGCAAGCGCGAAACCGGAGGATAAGAATCCGCGAGGAAAAAGAAAGAAGAGAAATTAATCCGACGATAAATCTAAGTCTTTTAACAATAATAGTCAGTTTATTATAACAATTATAACACTAATTACACAGTCTTAAATTAATTATGCGAAAGCGATTTCAGAATCCGCGAGCAACGGAGACGACTGATTCAATCCGCGAGCGACGGAAGAACGTTTTTTCGTGATCGAGAGATAAGTGTGCGCGTCGAGTACTTTTCAGCCAAGAAGCGCCATGTTCCGCGAGCGCGTCAATTTATAGTGGAGCACTTCTCGAAAGATCCCGATTTTTCGTGAACCAATATAAATGTTCAAAACGAACGGTTAAGAATTTATTTATTTTCCTTGGATCTTTCGAGAAGGGCAAGCGCTGTTTTTAAATTGCGCTGACAAAGCCGATATCGCGCTAACGGCTGCCAGGGTCGCCGAATGATCGCTCGGACCCTCGCTCTCTTTAGCGAGGGCGTTTTGAACAACGTCTCATAGGCGTGCGTTATACGAATTAAAAGCATTCATTTCTACTTAGTTCAGTAGTTCGCATCATCGCATGCTATCTTGAAAAAAAGCGTTTAATTCACGTTAGTACGTCGCATAGGCGTGAGTTATCCGAATTAAAAGCATTCATTTCAGGTTAGTTCAGTAGTTCGCATCAACGCATGCTATCTTGAAAAAAAGTGTTTAATTCAAGTTCGTACGTCGCATAGGCGTACGTAATTCGGTTTAAAAGCATTCATTTCTACTTAGTTCAGTAGTTCGCATCATCGCATGCTATCTTGAAAAAAAGCGTTTAATTCACGTTACTACGTCGCATAGGCGTGAGTTATCCGGATTAAAAGCATTCATTTCAGGTTAGTTCAGTAGTTCGCATCAACGCATGCTATCTTGAAAAAAAGTGTTTAATTCAAGTTCGTACGTCGCATAGGCGTACGTAATTCGGATTAAAAGCATTCATTTCTACTTAGTTCAGTACTTCGCATCATCGCATGGTATCTTGAAAAAAAGCGTTTTATTCACGTTAGTACGTCGCATAGGCATACATAATTCGGATTAAAAGCATTCATTTCTACTTAGTTCAGTACTTCGCATCATTACATAGTATCTTGAAAAAAAGGGTTTAATTCACGTTAGTACGTCGCATAGGCGTGCGTTATCCGAATTAAAACAATTCATTTCTACTTAGTTCAGAACTTCGCATCATCGCATGTTATCTTGAAAAAAAGCGTTTAATTCACGTTAGTACGTCGCATAGGCGTGCTTTATCCGAACTAAAAGCATTCATTTCTACATAGTTCAGTACTTCGCATCATCGCATGCTATCTTGAAAAAAAGCGTTTAATTCACGTTAGTACGTCGCATAGGCGTGAGTTATCCGGATTAAAAGCATTCATTTCAGGTTAGTTCAGTAGTTCGCATCAACGCATGCTATCTTGAAAAAAAGTGTTTAATTCAAGTTCGTACGTCGCATAGGCGTACGTAATTCGGATTAAAAGCATTCATTTCTACTTAGTTCAGTAGTTCGCATCATCGCATGCTATCTTGAAAAAAAGCGTTTAATTCACGTTAGTACGTCGCATAGGCGTGAGTTATCCGGATTAAAAGCATTCATTTCAGGTTAGTTCAGTAGTTCGCATCAACGCATGCTATCTTGAAAAAAAGTGTTTAATTCAAGTTCGTACGTCGCATAGGCGTACGTAATTCGGATTAAAAGCATTCATTTCTACTTAGTTCAGTACTTCGCATCATCGCATGGTATCTTGAAAAAAAGCGTTTTATTCACGTTAGTACGTCGCATAGGCGTGCGTTATCCGAATTAAAACAATTCATTTCTACTTAGTTCAGAACTTCGCATCATCGCATGTTATCTTGAAAAAAAGCGTTTAATTCACGTTAGTACGTCGCATAGGCGTGCTTTATCCGAACTAAAAGCATTCATTTCTACATAGTTCAGTACTTCGCATCATCGCATGCTATCTTGAAAAAAAGCGTTTAATTCACGTTAGTACGTCACATAAGCGTGCGTTATTCGGATTAAAAGTATTTATTTCTGGTTAGTTCAGTAGCTCTCATCATCGCATGCTATCTTGAAAAAAAGCGTTTAATTCACGTTAATACGTCGCATAGGCGTGCGTTATCCGAATTAAAACAATTCATTTCTACTTAGTTCAGAACTTCGCATCATCGCATGTTATCTTGAAAAAAAGCGTTTAATTCACGTTAGTACGTCGCATAGACGTGCTTTATCCGAACTAAAAGCATTCATTTCTACATAGTTCAGTACTTCGCATCATCGCATGCTATCTTGAAAAAAAGCGTTTAATTCACGTTAGTACGTCGCATAGGGGTGCGTTATTCGGATTAAAAGTATTCATTTCTGCTTAGTTCAGTAGTTCTCATCATCGCATGCTATCTTGAAAGAAAGCGTTTAATTCACGTTAGTACGTCGCATAGGCGTGCGTTATCCGAATTAAAAGCATTCATTTCTGGTTAGTTCAGTAGTTCGCATCATCGCATGCTATCTTGAAAAATAGCGTTTAATTCAAGTTAGTACGTCACATAGGCGTGCGTTGTCCGAATTAAAAGTATTCATTTCTGGTTAGTTCAGTAGTTCTTATCATCGCATGCTATCTTGAAAAAAAGCGTTTAATTCACGTTAGTACGTCGTATAGGCGTGCGTTATTCGGATTAAAAGCATTCATTTCTGGTTAGTTCAGTAGTTCGCATCATTGCATGCTATCTTGAAAAAAAGCGTTTAATTCACGTTAGTACGTCGCATAGGCGTGCTTTATCCGAACTAAAAGCATTCATTTCTACATAGTTCAGTACTTCGCATCATCGTATGCTATCTTGAGAAAAAGCGTTTAATTCACGTTAGTACGTCGCATAGGCGTGTTTTATCCGAACTAAAAGCATTCATTTCTACATAGTTCAGAACTTTGCATCATCGCATGTTATCTTGAAAAAAAGCGTTTAATTCACTTTAGTACGTCGCATTGGCGTGCGTTGTCCGAATTAAAAGTATTCATTTCTGCTTAGTTCAGTAGTTCTCATCATCGCATGCTATTTTGAAAAAAAGCGTTTAATTCACGTTAGTACGTCGCATAGGCGTGCGTTATTCGGATTAATTGTTTTATAATAAAAATATTAATAATCAATATTAAATATTAAAAAGAAATATATATATATACAGGGTGGGGAAAAAGTATGGAAACAAACAATTATTTCCGAAACTATTCATTTTTCGACAAAATGTCTTAGACATAATTTTTATGGTATGAAAAGATGTATTATGTGGCATAGACGGCATGACCTTGAAATGACCCTTACGAGCTGCATACAAATAACGTAAAAAATTTCAAATGGAACTCGTCAGTTTTTGTTACAGATTCTTGTAGCTGATGTCGAAACGTTTACAAAACACTGCATATGAGCCCCATTCCCTTAAAAACACTCCCAGTTACGAAACAATTGTGATACAAACAATTTGTATGCACATTGACATTGCTTACTGATTTCGCATCATGACGTTCAGTTGCGTCCACTAATAACATCCTTAACTGGTTGGATGAATCGCACTTATCTTGCCTTAACTGGTTGGATGAATCACACTTATCTTGCCTTAATTGGTTGGATGAATCGCACTTATCTTACCTTAACTGGTTGGATGAATCGCACTTATCTTGTCTTAACTGGTTGGATGAATCGCACTTATCTTACCTTAACTGGTTGGATGAATCGCACTTATCTTACCTTAACTGGTTGGATGAATCACGCAATCTCTTTCCTTGAGTACGGTTCGATGTACGCCTTAACTGATTCTACGAACTTCGCGTGTCTTTCGTATCGGCAGAAATGATCGAAGCGGGTTATTCTCCATTTGTTGCAGTAATCGCTACCGTTGTACTGATCTCTCATAATGACGTTCAGTCGCGTTACACACATTCATGTAATCACACGTACGCTGTCTATTTTCAATTTCGTCGATACGAATTATCACAATTGTTTCGTAACTGGGAGTGTTTTTAAGGGAATGGGGCTCATATGCAATGTTTTGTAAACGTTTCGACATCAGCTACAAGAATCTGTAACAAAAACTGACGAGTTCCATTTGAAATTTTTTACGTTATTTGTATGCAGCTCGTAAGGGTCATTTCAAGATCATGCCGTCTATGCCACATAATACATCTTTTCATACCATAAAAATTATGTCTAAGACATTTTGTCGAAAAATGAATAGTTTCGGAAATAATTGTTTGCTTCCATACTTTTTCCCCACATTGTATATTGTATATATATATATATATATATATATATATATATATATATATGTCAAAGGGTTTGTTCCGGTACATTTAGAAATCTGATATTTTTTTACTGAATTTTAATAAAGCATTAAGATTCAAACTCATTTTGATCTTAAAAAATTAGATATTTTTTTCCGTTTTTGAAATATTACATTTAAAAAATTTTTCAAGACACTTGCATAATAGCAGTTTTCAGGACAATGGTGATTTCCAGGACTGTCCTGGAAAAATTCTATGAATAATGGTATTTTCTAGGACAAACATAAAATATATGTAATTCTTTTTAAACATTCAAATATTCGAATATCTTTTTTCATTACTTTTAAATATACTGTATGTTTACTCTTAAAGCCTCCGCACAAGGTGTTCCGTATCGCATTACGTTACGTTAAGTATTGATCATAAATTTAACTCCGTACGTAAACTTAAACTTCAGTCAACGCACAAAAAAAATCGTAACGTAAAGACTTACCTTTACGTTACGATTTTTTCTGTGCGTTGACTGAAATTTAAGTTTACGTACGGAGTTAAATTTACGATCTATATTTAACGTAACGTAATGCGATACGGAACATCTTGTGCGAAGGCCTTTATTATTGTAGAACTTTGCTATTACGGCTGTTTCAAAATTTACTGTCACTAGGGAAATCTATACATAACGTGAACTAGCAGTAAATTTTAGAACACACCTATGTGTCGAACGCAATGCGCGTTGTAGGCGTTTTTTAGGTTATATTAGGCCGAGTCTACAATTTAGGTAATTTAAATGACTTTCACACATAAAATTCCATAAGTACGTAAGACGTAAGCGTAAGAAAATCTACCAATCACAGTCGAGCAGTAAGGCAGCCATATTAAAACGTAAAGGCCTTTGCACGTACAAAAATTTTAGTCGTAACCATAAGGTCGTAAGAAAACTGACAAATTATAGTCGAGTGTTCTTTCTGCGATAAAAGAATAATCAACTATGATTGGTCAGTTTTCTTACGACCTTACGGTTACGACTAAAATTTTTGTACGTGCAAAGGCCTTAAGAATTTCGATTTGTTGATTTTCTTACTGCTTACGTCTTACGTGCTTATGGAATTTTATGTGTGAAGGCCATAAGTCTTAAGAAATTGACCAATCACAGTCAAGTATTCTCTTCATACTTGACTGTGATTGATCAATTTTTTAAGTCTTACGCCTTAAAGGCCGTGGCACATAAAAAAAAATAAGCAGTAAGACTTAAGCAGTAATCCGTAAGCAGTAGAATCAAGGCACACAGTAAACTTAATATGTTACTTTCTACCAATCACAGTATTGCAATGCTTTTCGATGAGTTTTAGAACACACTTTATGCGATAGCATAAAAAATATTTTAAAGTGTCTAACCTAAATGAAAGGAAAATAATTATATATTTATCGGGATGACAATATATAAAAAGAAAGAAAATATTATATAGTATAGATTAATTCTAAGCATTTATCTATATTTAATTAGAAATGTGTGTGTATATTTTGATGATATTAACAATTTGAAATAGAAATATAATATCATTGTTCTCAAAGATATTCAAAATTGCTACAATTTGTAATGTTTGTTTTACAGACAATGGATAACGAAGAAATCTAGCGTATGTATTAGTTGTACTAATGATTGGTACATATATATTAAAAAGACAAACATCTTTTCGTTGGATTAATAGAAAATATTGGGTGCGACCAATTAATATAAGACGTCCCATTCAAGGAGATTTTGATCATTTATTACAAGAAATGAAAACTGATCCTTATATGTTCTTCAGATATACCAGAATGTCCGTAAATGTTTTCAATCACTTATTAGAAATAATGAAACCATTCTTAACCAAAAAGAGTCATCGTGCCTTAGTACCAGAGCAACGTCTTGCTTTAACTTTAAGGTTTGTATCTCTTTTAATAACTATAATGTATATTAAAAGAAGTGTTAACATACTGATTTAGTCGATCTGTGTTCATTATTATAGATATCTCGCCACAGGAAATCAAATCTTGTCTATTGCGTTAGCATACAGAATTGGAGAATCTACAGCGAGAAATGTAATTAAGGAAACTTGTGCTATGATCATAAAAGTATTGTCACCGATATATCTCCAAGCCCCTACCGAAGAACAATGGCTAAAAATAATTGAAGGCTTTTATAGGAAATGGAACTTTCCAAATTGCTGCGGAGCAATAGACGGGAAACATATTCAAATACAAGCACCGCCAAATTCTGGAAGTCTGTTTTATAATTATAAGAAAACATTTAGTATTGTTTTGATGGCAGCATGTGATAGTGACTACAAATTTACGTTGATAGACTGCGGATCATATGGTAGTAGTAATGATGCAGGGATATTTTCAAGGTCCGATTTTAATAAAGCTTTAGTCAATGGCAATTTACATCTACCACGAGGCGAAAGCATCTTACCCGGAAGTGATAAAAAGTCACCATGTTTTTTTGTCGCGGATGAAGCATTCCATTTATCTACAAATCTAATGAGACCATATTCTGGACGAAATTTGGAATCAAAAAAAAGAATCTTCAACTACAGATTATCACGAGCCCGAAGAGTTATCGAAAATAGTTTTGGAATTCTGGTATCAAGATGGCGAATATTTAGAAAACCCATTTGTATGCACCCAAAAACTGTAGACACAATAGTAATGGCGACAATATGTTTGCATAATTTTTTGAAAACAATAAATGATTTAACGTCAATGAAAAACAGAATATACTGTCCACCCAACTTCGTAGACACAGAGCAAGAAGATGGAAGTATTGTTTCTGGAGCATGGCGAAATGAATATAGTACAGCTGTTCAGTGTATCAGATCGAGTACAGCTCACCGATCGACGATTGAAGCATATAAACAACGGGATATTATTGCAGATTATTTTTTGAGTGCTGTTGGTGAAGTTCCATGGCAGTACTCTTACATTCGTAGAGGCTTACATTGTCCCGATATGGAGTAAAGAATTAATATTATGTTTGTTTTTTTTATTTAGAATAAGGAAAATTTTTCATATATATGTATTAATATTTTTTACTATTTTTATAATCCTTGGCGCTTTTTTCAAGTTCTTAAAATAGAGAATATTAATTAATGTTATGAATCATATTCTAAATAATTCGCAGAAATTTAAAATATTAATTATATTTGCTAACAATTTTGTTTCTGACCCAATTATATATTTTAGAAAAAAATGTAAAATTAATCTTAAATATTTTAACTTTTACATATGTTTGGTTTGTATAATAGAAGAATATCATACACTTACTGTATGTAGAATTTACACAGAGTTTACCACTTTTCAATTAATTCTTCATAGTACAAGTACGATTGAATACGATTGAATATGATTTAATAGTTAGAATATTATTCGAAAATGTACCAAAAATATTTTATGTTACCAAATTATTTACGGATTGTAATAGAATTTAATTATAATATATTTAATTATAAATAAAATACATAAATATATATAAATGCGCTTTGAAATAAAAAATACCTTTTTAATAAATTTCCATATAATTTATTTTTATAACTTGATTTAACTCTTCTAAGTAATAGATAGATATACATAAGGATGAGTCTTCAATCTCAACAAATAAAACATAAATATCTTACATTTAAAACATAAATATCTTACATAATTATCTTATCTAGACGCTAAATGTAATGAAAGTAAAAAAATATACGAATTATAAAAGACATGAAACAAAAAATTTATCTTGGGCGCCAAATTATCACATAATAAATCATGAAAAAAATAAAATATAAATATCTTACATTTAAAACATAAATGTCTTAGACGCTAAATGTAATGAAATAAAATATATGAATTATAAAAGACGTGAAACAAAAAATTTATCTTGGGCGCCAAATTATCACATAATAAATCATGAAAAAAATAAAATATAAATATCTTACATTTAAAACATAAATGTCTTAGACGCTAAATGTAATGAAATAAAATATATGAATTATAAAAGACGTGAAACAAAAAATTTATCTTGGGCGCCAAATTATCACATAATAAATCATGAAAAAAATAAAATATAAATATCTTACATTTAAAACATAAATGTCTTAGACGCTAAATGTAATGAAATAAAATATATGAATTATAAAAGACGTGAAACAAAAATTTATCTTAGGCGCCAAATTATCACATAATAAATCATGAAAAAAAACAAGTATCACATTAAACATAACATTCAAATAACTGAAATTATTGTATACATGGTTTCCATAAAATCTCTGCAATTGCTTGTTTTCGTTTACATTTTTCCGGCTCAGGTATTTTTTCTAATTCTATTGCTACTAGTAAACCAAAGCTTTTCTCTGGTGTTAAATTATTTAAATTCCAATCAGTGTGATTATTGTTAGTAGGACACGGTGGATTAACAAGCCGGTTTTGAAGAGTATTACTCAGAGATACAATGGACGATTCCAAGTGTGAGATATTTTTATTTTTTATTTTACCTAAAGAATTGCGAGATTCGCTTCGGAGTGATGATGATCGATCAGATGAGACTGTTTCAATTGCATTGATCTCTTGTGAGGTGTTAGGCGGATCTACCGCATTCTGTACAGTTTGAAATTTTCGGAATGGTGGTAATGATCGATCAGATGAGCCTGTTTCAATAGCATTGATCTCTTGTAAAGTGCTAGAACGATCTACCGCATTCTGTACAGTTTGAAATCTTCGGAATGGTGGTAATGATCGATCAGATGAGCCTGTTTCAATAGCATTGATCTCTTGTAAAGTGCTAGAACGATCTACCGCATTCTGTGCAGTTTGTAATTGATTTATTTCTTGAAAATGCCGATTACGAGAAAAGTTTGTTTTCGGTGTTTCTTCGGGCACAATGTCAGAAATAAGAGAAAGATTTGAATAAGAGTCTACATGTGCATGCAATAAAGTATTTTTACTAAAATTGTGCTTATCGGTACAAACATTTGATATATCAACTGCTTTTTTTTTTAATAACCGAATTAACCACATTGGTATATGATCTGAAATTTAAAATTAATGTACATATACATATATATAACAATATGTTTATATAACAATGTACCTAGCAAACATAAATATATATAACTGTTATATAATACATAATATAATATGTATGTTACATGCAACGCAAAGGTTAATTTCCCACTCATAAATGGAACATTTGTAATATAATATGTTGCATTGTAGTTACAATTAACATATACGTTGCATGTAACGAACATATTATATTACATATGTATAACAATTATATATCTGTTTGTTGGTATATATTGTACTGACTATGTTTATGCACTGTATAATACACATATATGTATAAAACAATGTGATGTTTATATATACCTGTATTATAATGACTTAAAAAACTTACTTTCTCCGTCTAATAAATTTTTTTAGGAACATCATGTTGTTATAAAGAATAAATATTGGTCGGCGACTAGCTGCACTGCCACTTCGATTTTCTATCTCTTGAAGACGTTGTTCTTTCCTAAACCTTTCACGCAAACGTAGCCAACGAGTCTGACAATTATCAACCACAATGAACAAACATACATATAAATGTAATAAATATAAATTCAGAAAATTATTAAAATAAATAATAAAATATTATCTGACATATTCATAAGTGATGCGATTTCCCTCCATGAATTCTCTTTTATTTTTGTATCTTTATATTCTTTTAAAGAAGTGTCATACAAATGAGGATATCCTCTAACTGCATCGATTAATAATTCATCGTTTGTTTTATCGTTTCCTTCATCAAATTGAGGGACTTCATCATCCTCATCGATTTGATCATTCATATCATCCGGGAAATTTTGAGAATAATATGCGTGTTCCATTTTCTTGTTATTAAACCTCTGTAACCTATAACTTTCATTAACACAATGAGATATCTAAACTATCTATATAATTACTGTATTTTATATAAAACAAAACTTACTTTTTTGTTTAATAATAATTTCTTCAGGAAAATTTCTTAGGAATACATAAAATAATATTATATAAATAATATTCAATTTCTTCGGGAGATAGAAAATCGAAGTGCTGCGTAATCACCGAGTCTAGTAACTTCTTTATGATTGGTTCACCGTAAAACTTAAAACTTAGAATTTCATCCTTGTGGAATATTTCAACCTTACGTTCTGAGTTTTAAGTTTTAAAATGGCTGCTTTATTGCTCGACTGTGATTGGTCGATTTGCTTATGCTTAAGTCTTATTGCTTATTTTTTTTATGTGCCACGGCCTTAAGCCTCCTTAAAATCTCATTGTAGACGCCGCTTGAAGCCTGGAGCACATAAAAAAACTTAGACAGTAAACTTAAGACTTAAACGAATCGACCAATCGCAGTAGCTGCCTTATTGCTCGACTGTGATTGGTCGATTCATTTAAGTCTTAAGTTTACTGTCTAAGTTTTTTTATATGCTCCAGGCTTTAGAGCTCTAGTAGAGCCTTAGGGCCATAGACTTATAGAATAGACTACCTATATGAAGCTAGCCGACCGAAATTATTAAATATGATCATTTTTAATTTTTCTGAATATATTTCGTTTGTAAATCGTTCGTGATTGATTGTGAGTCTGTTTTTAACGTTTGTGACAAATTAGATTTTTTGTAATTAACAATTTAATTTTAAGCATGATGTTAGCCGACACATTTTAGTAATAAATAGATTTTCTAATAACTGATAATTGTAATTGATAGAAAATCGTTTGTGATTTATAAATATATCAATATAATTGTTTGTGAGTTAATAATTTCTTAATTATTTGCGATAAATAATTTTATAATCGTAGTGCGCATGCGCAAGGTAAAAAAATTAACCAATCACAGTCAAGTATTTTCTTAATACTTGATAACGTAGGACAAGGACGACATATAGGTGGAAGAAGGACGACGCAAAGATAAGTGAACAACGAGTATATGAAAGAGAGAGAGAATGATAATATTTTAAGACAACGCGTGCGAGAGAGAACGATAGCGCAAAGACAACACGTGTGAGAGAGAACGATAATACCGCGAAAACGACGCGTGCGAGAGAGAACGATAATACCGCGAGACTTACAATTAGTGCGCGCGAAAGAGAGAACGATAATATCGAGATTAACACATGAGAGATAACGATACTTAAAACTAGCGCAAGAGAGACGCAGAGATGGGAACGCATAATGATACGCGCGTAAATAATTAGATTTTTTAAATTAAAATATAAGATATAAATTTATTTTAAAATATGTATGTGTTTTATACATATTTGTGTGTGTGTGTGTGTGCTTAAATTATGATTATAATAAAATTAAAAATGTAATAATATAAAATTAAAAAATATATATTTGGAGAGTGCGGGGGTGCGAGGGTGGGGGGTCAGGGGAGCCGGATCAGAGAGATGATCGCTCCTGTAACAGAAAAAATATATAGTTATAATATATATAGTAAAAATATATAGTTATAATAAGATTTATAAAAAATACTTATATCTGTGCTCCCCATTACACATGCCATTGGGTGCCCGAATCTCCCCGGGCACCCAAATCTTCTCCTCCATGTAGGGCTCTTCTCCGAAGAACCGCCGAAGGTCAAAGATGTCCTCTTCATCCGGGAGACTCTCCGGAGCGTCACCCCACATGAAAAAGAGGTCCTGTCTCCTCCACCGCCGTTCCACCCGCACCCACTGCCGGCGTC